AGTACTTACACATCAAAGCTTCACACATCACTTTACCAACCGCCTCACCGCCCTCCTCCATCCCTCCCACCAACTCCACCACTCCCTTCGTGATCACACACACCCCCTCTACCAACTCCAACTCCCTTCCACACATTCATCACCGCGTCGAGGACGGAGAATCACCTCAATCCACCAACACGAGAACTGAGGGGCACGCCCGTCTGTGATTGGTCGAGCACGACTTGAAGCCACCTGAGCCTAACAGTGTCGCCACAATGCAGTGATGCATTTCCGCATCACCGCGACGCCAAGGACGAAGTGGTTCCATTTTACAGAGCAAAGAAATGGCACTGTGTTGGAGGAGGAAAGGTGGAGGAGGAAGAGGAGGAAGCCGCCACCCAGTTTGTCGCCATTCAATTCACAAAGGTGTGGATGTAGGGAGGAATTGCCCTTCCATTAATTTCCACTTCCGAGTCCATTGACCTTTTAGATGCATGTTTTCTAACCATGGGCGCCTATGGACCAGCATTTGCATCTTTTTTTTTTTTAGAAAAACACAAGTCCAATTTTGACGGAACCACCTCAAGACAGTGCAGTAAATATTACCTATCCAAAAAATGTCGTATTTTAAAATTTATAGGATCATAGTGTAAAATTAACATTTTTATTTTAAAACCCTAAAGTAATAAAATGTGACTAGCATTATTGTTTTAGGTTTGACAGACAGGTGGAGGTGAAAAATGCTAGAATTGGAGCGAAATTTTTTTTGTCCTCCAATTTGCATGAAGGGAGGTTTTTCGAAAAATTCCTTTAAATGTTACAGCCTTCCCAGCAGCAGTTTAGTGTTTTCTCAAACTCACTAAAGGAGGGATTACACTGTAGTATGGAGGCTGCTTCCAAGTTCCACTCGTACCTCTACAGAGGCGTAAAATTTATCCTTACTTACATGGGGGAGTGTGAAATTCCCCTTCTCAGTTCTGCATCAGCCAATCTCCTTGGGACACATGACTTTAACTAAATCACACTTCAGATCAGCTACATTTGGGAGCCTCACAGCACCACGCTACATGTGACATTTGTGGGCATTGCGCCTGAATTTCATTGTTAATTTTATTTAGCAGTTTCCATGTTCTAACTTGGAACACAACCCAATTCCAAACATTGAAATCACCCGTGCCTTACCTGCATAAAATTTTGGTAGGTGTATAAAAACGCGCGATTTTCCCACCAAACTAGGATAGGCTACACAGAATTTCCACATTCTGCGCCAATATTACCAACTTATACTTGGATGGAACAGTTTGGCACGTTTGAAGATTTGCAAAATGCGGGGCGAATATTTTATTCTGCAGATAAAAACATGCTGAAAAAATCGGTATCAGTTGATAGCCTAGCAAAAAAGACACATATTTGACTTTCTTTCCGGATAATTTTATGCATTTTTAGGATGGGTTGAATCCAGTTTGCCCAAACGTAACGAACGACTAATTCTTTGTAAGAATAGAATTTAGCTCGATTTTAAGATTCACAGACCAGTAAATAAATTGTATTCTCTTTTCATTTAGACAAGATTTTGACTTGAAATTTAAAGACATTTCTTAGGCATACTTGTAGACCATATAACAGACTACAGTGAAGTGTTCCGAGCTGGTTATCTGATTCGACAAATTGTCCAAAATGCGATTATCATCTCTAAAATTCTGTCCGCCAATGCCCTTTTAGCTGATCTTTTTTGTTTTCATCGAGTCTATTCTACCCATTTTTTCAACACTCTCAAAAACGGTTGAAAATAAAGGACAAGTATTGACAAAACGCTGATTGTCCTATTTCAGCAACCAGAGTACTTTAATTACCATCCCTTCTTGAAACTGATTACTAACCAATCATTTCGTCGTCTGTGCATTAGTCAATCCCAACTTGGCAGCTACTCGTCTACACTCGACCAATGAAAAGGCGGATCCATGCATATCAGCCAATCCTGAGCAAATATTATTTTAAGCTCTAATTTTCAATTGTATTTATTTTAAAAAACCTTGGATCAAACTCACTTTGAATTGCAGAAATGGTGCATTGGTTCGACTAGCGTAGATGAGTTGGTCAGAGAAGAGAAAGAACATGCGTTGTTGGTATCCTTTTTTGGACAGCTTCTGGAGGAGGCCCTCACGAATGAACTGACGCGAACGAGACGCAAGCCAGCCAGTTGGCTTTTCTCTTCCCGACCCCGAAGTCGTTGCAGTCGTCACCTCACCAGTCACCTGCACACCCACGAGGTCACGCTCCACCTCGAGAGACTTGTAGAGGTTCTCGCAGCGCTTATAACTATCCCATTGGGATTGTATAGTGTCCAAGAGGCGTGCATGAGCGACTGAAGTAAGAGAAAATGAGGATTTATCGGGTATTTTAAGTTGAAATGATTCTTATAAATTTACGAGCCTAGGATAAGATAGGATGATACTGTGGTGCAGGTGATAAACGCATCACCGACTCAGTGAGTCAGTCCAAATACGGTTAATCAAGGTGAGGTGTGGGCGCATACATTAAACTAAGAGTATTTGTAATACGGTGGGTGAAGACCTGGATCTTCTGGTCTCCATCCTTACACAGGACGAATGATTGGCAAACGACTCCATTTTGGAGGGAGAGCTTCTTCTAAGCGATAAAGACATGGAGGTGCATCAAGATTTAAACATGGATAATCATGTGAAACAAACTATCTTGGGAATGTTTAGCAGTGCTGCAATATTTTACCACCTTGATGTTGTGGCCCAGATACCAGTTGAGCCTTGAAATGAGAGTGCATGCCATGTAATAGAGGACCGTGACTGAAGTTACCCCTTCCTCCCCTCTTTACTCCCAATGTCTCACTTTGATCTTTAGAAATGTGTGGTGGACAGTTCACCGCCCTCTAGCAGATGGAGGTAGGGAGGAGGGCAATTTTACAGGGAAAGAAAAATACACGCCATATCACCACTCTTGTAGTTAAATTAAGTATGCTTAAATAAGAAACTCGGCTCCATTGATACTCGCATTGATATAGGAGTAAGTATTAAATTAATTGCGGAGAGGAATTGTGCACACACATCGGTACATGACAGCTTGTTTTGACACTTTCGTTGTCTTCTAACCGAGGTAATTGCAAATATTAACCAGAGAAAGGTGTACGTGTAAAAGGAGAGGAGGGAGGGAACACCGTGATCTTGGAATGAGATAAGGAGCCCACCTGTGGAGTAAACAAGTTTGAATCTTTTGGACCCCAGTTACAAGTACTTGAGGGCGCTTCTAAGTAAGCATGTTGACAATATTAAGATGACATTTACTGCCAATCAAAAGGAAAACTCTCCCTCAAATAAGGTCACATCAGGGACAAGCGGGGGTGTCAACATCTTCCTGATTCAGCATGCCAACGGTCGTCTAAGTGCTAAAATAAGCTATCACAAAAAAACTTTTAGCAATTTCAAACTTTATTTTTGCCGAAATTCAATGTTAGATTTGCTCGTAAATGTTAATTTAAAAAACAACATTGATAGAGGACTCACCAGAATTAGGAAGAGGTCTAACCCACTAGACAGTAGTAGCTGCCAAAATTTTGGTTGAAAAGTACATCTATTTTGCGCAATCAAGCCACCAACCTCTGCAGTCCTGCATGTCCGGATTTGATTCATTGTAATGCCGCATCAGGCGTTCCAGTACAGACCTATACTGAAGTAGACGATGCATCGGTTTCAAGAGAAAGGCATAGAACGGAAGGTAGCAAGACTTCTGCGCCTCGTAGGATTGCATTTTTGATTGAAATGAGGCCCGACTTCGAACCAGCCTCTCCAAATCGATGATTAGGCACTCAGTTTCACACAAATACGATCGATAGAGCTGTAAATAGAGAAGCGATGATGTGGTTGGACAAAACGTTCAAGGTCATTTTACTATTGGTTCGTACAAATTAGGAGGCTCGTCTGAATTTAATCCAATTGACAATTCAGCAACCCAAAAGATCATCTTGAAGTTTGGATGGGAGATGAACATTTTCAGGAAATTGCTCTTAAAAAGAAAAGGCATTTTAATATATGTGACCAATGACATTATCTCCCGTTAATTGATGGTTTTAAAATGGACCCAATGTCAAAATAGAGAGGAGTTGGAATCGACAGAACAAAAGGAAAAACTTGACACTGCACTATCCACAAACGCCCCTGATCCTGTAAGGCTATTTACTATAATGTTACCTTCAAATAAGGTAGTAAATCACAAAAGATGTGGGATTATTTAATCTGGATTTTGTTAATGAGTGAATTTGAAAAGTCATCATCAAAGAAGACGATTTTCTTCTGAAGTTAAAGCGATAGAAAAACCTACAGAACGACTACAAAAGCGCCATGAAAATGTAGAAAAATGGAGTTAGGCTATAAAAACTCAAACTAAAGAAAAAAATGAGAAAGATTTGGCATCAAGATAATTCCTTCAATGGGGGCTTTTTGACGTGAAAAGTTGTCCCCTCAAAAGTGTCAAAAGAACAATTCCCCACAAAGGCCGAAATTTGGTAGCGTATGTTACATTTCTAAATGGCTCTTCTATTTTGGTGGGGAGGAAATGGAACGCTCTCGCGTGCCTACTCAAAATTCATGCAGAAGGCTAAACGCAAAAAATGGGGAGGTTTGAAACCGGGTTGCGTTAACGACTTAAAACACAGAAAACAGTAAGGGCATGAGATATTAAGGGAATAAGGCATTCCGTACTGGTGTTACACATAAGTAACGCTCATATGGTGTCTGACACCGGCTCGACTTTACAGGTCTTTCGTGTGTCAGCTTTCGGCAGCGGCAATTTGATCCAATTTTCGTGTTTTTAGGTCAGATATTGAGTTTAAAATGATGGAAAGGGATGTTGAGAATTCGAGGACTAAGAAAGACAGTCGCACATATTCAAATCGTGTGTGTGTGTGCATTGAGAGTATTCTAAAGAAGCAATCAAAGAACCAATATGTGGTGGGTTGTGCCCTGCGAAAAAAGCTTGCAGATTACACCGATAAGTGATTTACTAAACATTGGAGAGCGAATTGCAAGCGTACCTGTCGAGTAAATTCAGAACATTTAATAAAGGTTCACTAGTAAATCACTTCAGTGATTTGTTAAAATACTGGACCAGTTTTTCTTATCCTTGTATTTTTACTTGGGCACCCAGAACGCACGAAATTCATCAACAAAGCTTGTTTATTCGTGAGTTCCGACCAAAATAAGACGAAGCCATAAAAATGTTTATTCGTTTTTCACTGGAAATGCCTGATCTTTTGATGAAGAGTGATACAAACGCTACTTTTAGGCATTTTTATTCATAAAGAATTAAACTAGTGCATACGATAAGACAATTGGCTAGTAAACTGCTGTTCCGTTTTCTATTGGCTGACTCCTAACACCAAATGACGTAATCACAGCTTTGATTCTATTGGTCAAAATATTGACAAACTAATAGCTCGCTTCTCAAACCGATTTGGAAGGTTAAATAAAAGAACGGTTGAGGAAATAAAGGGTTTGAATTATATTACATTCTTCCGATCACGTGATATCCCTTCCCATAGATTATTCCTATTTTAGCCATTAAAACTTCAGCAACTTAAATATCAGAAAATTAAATCCCTGCAAAATTTTGCGATTCATTTGACTAGACTCAAGTTCACAAAAGTCCATCATAGGGTGGTCGAATAAATCTGTGCGATTCGGACTAAGACTTGTCGTTGTTAGTGCAAATTCTCTGCTACTCTTAAGTGGGAATTATGCGATAAACAAAGAAAGGTGTCAGTCGGCCACCGCTATGACAGCTGTCGTCGTGACTGCAATGCAAGTGTTTAAAATTTGTTTCATTTACCACCCTAGAGCCTTTCTTCGAATTGGGCACGTATCCAGAGTTTGGAAATAAGTGATTTGAGTAATTTACCCCTAAATAGGTTAGCTAAACAATCGGCACCAAGCCTCCTTCCTTCCTTTGCGTGACTGGATCTTCAAAATCCTATATTGACTGCTGAAGTTATGAGGAATGATTGTACGCAAAGGTTGGTTCATTGAACAGGCACGTCTTTGATTATTCCCCAAAATCACCTCTCATTGCCATTCTCGTAAGTCTGCATTCACTTCTCCTTGTCGTCTAATTGTCTGAGTGTATGGTGAACAGCAAATAGAGTTGTCTAGGCGACCATTCCTTTTAGTACCTATCTGTTCAGTGGCAGCAGGTAGAAGGAAGTGCTGGTTCCACGGGGCCAAACACAACTGGCCATCCTTCACATTCCACTAATGCCATTTTCACAAGTTAGATAAGGAAGCCTTCTTTAAAGTGCGAGCCTTTCGGAACTGGCTTCTGTCTCGTTAAAAGGAGATGATGGATTGTGCTAGTGGCGACTTTTTTCGACAAAGTATAAAATTGTTTTGAATGACTTTTATTGCCAAAAAAGTCCCCATGGAATTACTCGACTTCATGATACAGCATTGAAGTCATTTCAACACTCAGTCAAACCCAGTTACGTTGACATTGCTTTGAGACAAAAAAAGCGGAGAACAAACGCTTTCAGCATTGGCCTCTTGGTGTTTTTATGTGGGTGGAATTCCAGATAGATGCCAGAAGACTGAGAGGTCAATCCTCCACTCTTTGTACTCGTACGGTTTATGACCGTGGTAATGCCGGAATGGGTATGGTGGTGGAAGCTATGTTTATTTTACCAAAGACATTATGCACCAGTTGCACATGACTGAGATCCCATAGTCTTGCAAGTAAGAAGGTGTTGCGTGCTCAACAAAACTTTAACTTGAAGCAATGAGGTGCAACCATTATTGGGGTTTAAATGCTCTCAAAACGTGACTCGTGCATATCGTTACATTTAGGCTTGCATTGTTGAAAGATGTGGCGTGTTATTCACGGTGCTTCACGGTTTGCGCCGATTCACAGAAAAGCTTGTGCTGACTGACACACATACGTCAATTGATAAACTATTCAGGAGTTCTGAAAATAAGGGACAGAACCTACTTGGAGCATTTTCAGGTTCGTGACGAAAAGATCGCCAATACGAACCGGTGTCGTAGGCGAGTCCGCATCTGCATCGGCGCTGGTCGCAGAGGCCGAAGCAGATGATGCGGAGCCTGAAGCGGAGGTGACAGTCAAAGCAGCAGAGGAATGACTGTGTGAGCCCCGTGCAGTGCTCTCAAGGCGCGTGGACCAAGCAGCGAACCGAGATTCGAGTTCGCTTAGAAAATCAATCGCCTGAGCTCGTAGTGGATCAAGGAGCGTAAACAGTTTGGAGAAGACAGATTCCACGGCAGCGCACTCTTTTGTCTCTTCAGTGAATGTCTCACGGAAACCCTGCATAGAGGAGAAGGCCAAAAAAGAGCAAATAATTTTCTGCTCAAAAATGGTACTGTAATGAACTTAACTCTCAACTCACAAGATTTGTTTTAGATTAGGAGTAAAGCAATTGAAGTTTGACAAAAAAACTCTGTCATATTTAAATGGCATTTCATTACATTTTTTACCAGTGAAAAAAATTATTTAATAGTTGTACAAAAAAGGCAGGAAACCAATGGTAGATCAGTGGGAGTGCACAAGATAGTGATTGGCTAGTGCCTAAAAATCGCTCTGCCATTGGTCCGTCTGAAGAGCGAATTAAAAATCTAGACCGAGACCTACCTCATGCCAAACCTAATGTGGCTAGTTTAATAGTTTTCTGTGAAAAATAAGCTAAGACCACATAACAAGGACTTGACACCAGTTGGACAAGCTCTATGGTTTGAGCAGTAGGTAAAAACAATGAATTGTCGAACACAAGTTGCGGGAATTGAGAGGCGTGTGATTGGCCAATGTTAGATCTGTGATGCTAATTAAGTGGCTAAAAGATAGGGAAGCTGGAAATATTTGATGCAATATTCCTAATCGAGGAAAGAAAAGGGGATTTAAGGAAAAATTATAACACTTTGGGAATAAGGACTGCACGAATTGGCTGATAAACTCTAATCTGGCATACCAATAGTCAAAAGGCTAGTACAATTAGTAAGGTGATTGGTTGGAAAAAACATGCAACAAAAAAAGGAGAAAACAAAGGGCTGCGATCCTAATCAATGGCCTTTTAAGACAGAATGATATTCACTCATGAGAATACTATTGTCACACACAAATGAGGGGAGGTGGGAGGTGAAATTAGATGACGCGTTCTGCGTTAATTTCCTCAAATGGTAATGACAAAACGATAAAAATTCTTGCCCTTTTCATCCTTGTTTAATTGCTTGGCAGAGCTAAAACAATAATACTGCCAACATCCTATTATTTTGAGGGATGGAACTAACTTTTCGTATTCCTTCATACACCTACTCTTCTTTCCTCCACATTTCAGCAATTTCAAAGATGAAATTTGAGGACGCTACTCAGATGCACTTCTACCATGAATAACCTTAGTTTATAAAAAAAAACAATCATTCGTCAGCCATCCAGTTTACCAAAAGAGTTTTCACATAGTTAGATGAGATTTAGATGGCACCTGGCCCAAACACTTAATAGGTAGACAATTCTGGGGAGAAAAGGGCAAAACAAAAAAGCATCAGTCCAACAATCACTTTTTAAACTGTCATAAGGTTTTCTCAAAGTGGAAGGATGGCCAAAGTGGAGCGCTGATCGACTACTCTTGAGGCTTTCTCACACGATGGTGCTGAGGGGGAATGGATTAACGGAAGTAGGAAGACCCAAGAAACTCTGTACGCAGTTTGGAGATGTGTAAGCCTAAAATGTTTTGACGGAGGGCTCTACATGACCTTGTGTCATCAAAACTTGTTTCAAAAATGTTTTCTTGTTATGAAAAAAATTTACTTAATCTTTCACTGGGTGGATGACAAGAGGTACCAACAGCCACGCCTTTCTGTTGAATGGCGAATAACGAAGGTGAGAATTGAGGAGGGATTTTAAAAAGGGAGGAATCTCTAGCACGTTGCATCGCGAGACACTTAAAACTCCCAAAACTAGTCGCTATTCAATGTAACAATGTTTAAACTTCCTTCCGTCCACCTGCTTGTCTTGCATATGTGTAACAGTTGACTCCATGTGTGTTCCGTCACCTACCAGCAGGCACGGCAGACGGCTTCCCGGGTGGATTGACGAGTGCGAGTGAAAGGTGCCCTGTGAAAGTAAATTTATAGGTGTGTTGCACTCCAAAGCGGGATGTGGCGATTAATGGAAGGGCAATTCCTCCCAACATCCACACCTTTGTGAATTGAATGGCGACAAACTGGGTGGCGGCTTCCTCCTCCTCCTCCTCCTCCTCCTCCTCCACCTTTCCTCCTCCAACACAGTGCCATTTCTTTGCTCTGTAAAATGGAACCACTTCGTCCTTGGCGTCGCGGTGATGCGGAAATGCATCACTGCATTGTG